TCCTCCTCCTCCTCCTCCTCCTCCTCCTCCTCCTCCTCCTCCTCCTCGCTCCTCCTCCTGAGGCCGCGGAAACCCGAAGCCCAGCACGCTGCGCCGAGTCCAAGATCCGAATCCCAGCATCCGGCCCGCAGGGCGAGCAAGAGAGCAGAACACCGATCGCGAGGCCCTCCTTGGTCGCCACCGAAAGGAGCCCGCCGTGAGAGGCTGTCCCAGAGCGGCTCCTCGGAAGCCTCCCGAGAAAAAACACCCCAGGGGAACCCGTGTCGTCGTCATTATGCTCCTCCTCCTTCTCATCCCTCTCCTCCTCCTCCTCCTCCGCCTCTTCTTCGGACTGGACAAGCGTGCCTTCCAGGAGGGAAGCGGTTCGTGGATCCCCAGGTTTCCCCCAGGAACGGCTCTTCATCACGAGTATGTTTCTTTTCTGTTGTGGCCCGGGGGGCTGAGAACGGCCTCAGGAGGTCGTGTAGACTGCTTACAACAAGGCAGGATCTGACCTCCTTACTACTAGTAATGTTGTTATTGCCACTATTCTGGACTGCCGCTGGAGCAGATGGCCCGCGTGCTGTATGATGATATAACGGCTTACCCCTGAACACTGAGAACGCGGGGGGCACCGGGGGCCTATCAGCCCGTGACCCATCTCTGCCTCAGGACCCTCTTCTCTTCATACTGAAGGCACGAACTCTGGGTACGTCTGTAGACGCCTCCCAGATGGGGTCAGAGATGATGGGGTCGGAGGATCGCGCTGCATCGCCGATGCATCACCGACGCATCGGCGATGTAAAATCGGGCTTCACATCAAGACGCATCGCCGATGCACCGGCGATGCGGCGCCATCCTTCGACCCATCTGCTCTACATCCATCTGGGACGCCTAGAACTTTGGAAACCCGCCAGGGCCTTCCGCTCGCCGCCCGGGCGTACAGGGTGGCGCCGTCCTCCAGGCACCGGCTCCCCTGTACCACCAGGGGGTCGCCCCCGCCTTGTTTGTACCTTGAGAAGCAGTAGAGCAGTAGAAGTACCCTTAGTCCTTTGGGTGGGGACCTGAGTTAGGAGGGCCGAAAACATTAAACGGGGTCTTGTCTGCAGATGTGCCAGACGAGACCACCAGCATGTTTGGGGATATCCGCCAAAACCGCGGACCTCAATTCGGCCACGACCTCACTGTGGTATTGGGGCTCGGGCTTGTAGTATGCTTGATGATACCTGACGGCGTCCCCCGTAGCGAAGCCGTGGGGGTCTGCGGTGGTCACCGTCCCGGCGCCATCCGCGGACCTCACGGCCACGGCCCTCGAGAAGAACCGGTAGAACATCCGCCTCGCCTGGTCCTGCGACGCCTTGGCGATGTCCGGGGGAGGGCCGGGCGAGACGGCGGCGGCCGTCCCTGGCGTTGCCCGTGCGTGCGGGGCCTCCTTCTGGTCTCCGCTGGGGCAGGAGGAGGAGGAGGAGGAGGAGGAGGAGGAGGAGGAGGAGGAGGAGGAGGAGGAGGAGGAGGAGGAGGGGAGGAGGAGGAAGAAGGAGGAGGAGGAGGAGGGGAGGAGGAGGAGGGCCACAGCTCGGACCCCGGCCCAGAGCCCTCGAGCAGCACCGCCGCTGCTGCGCCTGGGATGCGCGCCGCTGGCCGAGCAGAGCAACCGAGGAGGAGGCCACGGCCGGAGCCCCCCGCGCAGAAGCGGAGCACAAAGGGACCCCGGGGCCCGGGGCCCGGGGCCCGGGGCGGGAGGGCCGCCGCTGTCTCGGCTGGCCCTCCTCCGAGATGTGCACGTGCACGTCGCAGCGCCCGGGCCTGATCAGCGCCTCGTCGAGGCGGTCCTTTGCGGCAGGGCTCGATCCAAGGCAGTGTTTCCCGTGCTCGGTTGGTCCTCGTTTTCCCTCGCTCCGTCTTCGTTCCGCCGTTGCTGCAGGATGCAGTCAGAAACGACCACGGCGCACCGAATACCCCAAACCCCGTTTGGCTCGAGCCCTGCCTTGTGGTTCGTCGTCATCACGATGACGCACCCCTCCTGCGCCGCCGCGCCGTCCAGGGCGTTGAGGAGGCCCGAGAAGGAGATCCCGCCGCCCTGCTCCTTTCGGGTCGGGCGAAAAGGGGGGATAGCAAAGGGGGGTTTGAGAATCAGCTCACGCAGCTGATCCTCCCGGCGCCTCCCGGCGCCTCCCGGCGGCAATGCATCGAGGAATGGGCCCAGCGGCGGGGCCGAAAACAGCTGCATGCAGCGGATTTCGTACCCCCCAATTTCGGCTTTGGACAAACCTCCCTCTAGTAAACCTCCCTTTAGTGAAAACGGCCTGGGACCGAAACCGACGGACCTTGACCCGCAAAAGCGACGGCCGCGACGCCCTCTCGCGAACCGAGGACGGCCAATTCCTCAATCGACGTGTCGGGGTAGGAGGTCTATCCACCTCCGACCTTTCCCTATTCCCCCCCTTTCGTCCAGAGCATGGACCACGAACAAGATCTCAAGGGGCCCTAGGACACACACACACACACACACCACAGGATCCCCAACCTTCTTCCACATGTTCTGGGTTTTCGTCTTCCCCCCCCGCTTCCCATATTTTCCCATGGGTTTCCCCTATCGGGGATGGACAGACCCCCCTTCAGTAAAACGTGGTTTAGTGAAGACGACCTGAGGCCCACACCTGGCGGGCGCAAGCCTGGAAAACAACGGCCACGGCGCCCTCTCGAGAACCGAAAACGGACAATCCACTAATCGACGTGCCACTGTTGGGGCTTCTGTCCACCCCCGACCCTACCCCCCCCCTTGTGTCCCAGGGCCCCTTTGAGGGGGTTCTGTCGACCCCCGACCCACCCCCTCAAGGGGCCTTGGGACACACACAGACATGCACACAAACCACAGGATCCCCAACACTTTTCCACATGTCCTGGGTCTTCGTCTTCCCCCCCCCGCTTCCCATATTTTCCCACATTTTCCCATGGGGTTTCCCTATCCCCACCTTGCGCCCGGCTCCGCTCCTTCTTGGTGCTGTTCGCGGCCCTCTCGACGAAGATCGCGTCCACGTCTTCCAGGAGGAGCATGGACCTCGGCGGGGCTGCCCGGAGCAGCTCCGCCAGGTCGTCGTCGTTCATGTCCTTTGAAGGTTGGCGGCGCGCACAAGGGGGTGGAGGGAGGGGGGAGGGCTTCTTAGAAGGAGGCTGCTTCTTAGAAGGCGCCGGCCGTACATCTAAAGATAAGGGCCGCGCCTTCTAAGAAGCAGAGGTGATTCTAAGAAGCCATCCCCCCTCCCCCCCACCCCCTCTGCGCGTGGCTGAGAAGGGGCCCTGGGACACACAGATAAATTCGCCGGCCCAACGGGCCAGAGCCCCGGGGTTTGTTAGGTCTCAATGTAAGAACATGTTGAATATGTTACAACATACGACCTTATAATCAGAACGCACAAGTATGAAAACAAAGATGTTTCGTTCAATCGTTGTGCGGCGCATAAGCGCCGCACAGGCACAGTTCCGGAGATCTTAGCACGCCTAGGCGTGCTAAGATCTCCGGTAACTGGTTAACAATATACTTCTAGTTCGCGCGCGCGGGGCGGCCCCTGGAGGTCCCCGGGCGAAAAGTACCTCGGGCAAGTCCCGGGAGGAGACCCCGGACCGGGCAGTTTTCCGACACCCTTCACGAGGATCGTGGCCTCCGACGGGGGAGCCGCAATCGACTACCCCCCCTTCCCGCCCCAAGAGGCCCACAAGAGCCCCCCAAGAGGCCCTCCCCAAGACGCCGCCAAGAAGCCCCAAGAGACTCCCAAGAGGTCCCCAAGAGGCCCCCAAGAGGCCCTAAAGAGGGCTCCAGGGCCGGCGGAATGAGCGAAGCGATGAAATACCAGGATTGCCCATATTTTCCCATATGTTCTGGGTTCTGGTCTTCCCCCCCACTTCCCATAGGTTCCCAATTTTCCTGGGAGTCGACGATTACTTGTGTCTGTGTGCTTCTTTCCCTCCTGGTCCTTGTTGGACAGGTTCATCAAGCACACGTCAAGCCCCAGCTCGCCCGCCAGCACCTGCGCAAACGTGGTCTTGCCGCAGCCGGGGGGGCCGTAGAGGAGGTACCCGCGTCGGTAGGGGATGCCAGCGCTGTGGTACCAGTCGGCCGTCTTCTTGGTGAAGAAGTGCTTCATGTCTTCGACCACAGAGTCCGCGAGCTTCTCGTCCAAGACGATGGAGTCGCGGTCGCGCTTCTCCTTCGAGACGGCCTTCGACCACATGGGGAACCACTGGTGCTTCACTAGTATCTCCACCTTTCCCTCGCTGTCGTCTCGAAGCATGGTCTTCAGGGCTGCAGCCAAGAATTCCTTGAGTGGCTTCGGGTCAGTCGTCCACCACAGAGTAAGGACGATGACCTCTGGGTCCCGCTGCTTGCTGCTCTCCCCAGTCCGCAGCTGCGGCTTGTCGATGTGGCGCTCGAGCCAAAACTTGTGCGTGATTCCCTCCTCGTCCGTCCAAAAGAAGTTATTGGAGAAGCTCTGTATGTCTGGCTGATAATACAGCGTGGGGGACTTTGTCTTCCCGCCCAACCATCCTGCCAACAATTCCTGGAAGCTCAATTGTGACCGTGGCTGCGTAGACGCCAGCAGCTTGCCTGTCGTGACGCTGCAGCGAGAGCCGATGTAGTCGACAACTGAGTCGTAGTGCTTGTCCTTGTTGCTGAAGCTCAGGGAGACCTTGCAGTGCTTCTCAACGACGTGCGCCAAGCGTGTCTGCACGATGCCGTAGACCTTCCAGGAGACGCCCCCGAGGGCGCCCATAATCGACACCGGCACGGACAGGTACACGGTGCCCATCAGAGGGCCTCTGATCTCCTCGGGCAGCACGGACACCGCTGCCCGGAAGGACCGCAGCGCGGCGCCCAGCGCCCCCACCAGCGGCACGGCGCCGCGGCGCGCGGCCCGTCTCAGCAGCAGCAGGGCGGCCAGCACCGCGGCCAGGGGAGCGGCCACCTTCGCGGCCAGCGTGCCGCGCCTCGCCTCTCTCGCCTGGGACTGCGGCGGCTGCATGAGCAATGCCGGAGCGGCGGCGGGCGCGAGAGGAAACAGCCACAGCGGCAGCGACCCTGAGCTGATAAGGCGAAGCGGAGCAGGCCGAAATAGACGAGGGCAGCCCAAATTTGGGGCACGGTGAAGCCCTGCAAAACAAACGCGCACAATCGCACGTGACCGCCGCAAATTCGCAAAAACCACAAGAACAATTGCTTGGGGGACGTACGGTCAAGAACTTCTGCTGAGCGTGACGCGCAGGCGGCCCTGGCGACACGCTATGCCCTGCAAGCGGATAGCGTGTCGCTCTGCTCCGCGCAAGCTGGGGACATTGACACTTGGGGTCTGGAAGGGGTTCGTGTGGTGCTGCCAGATTGCGGTGGTGCAGAACCAACCAGCGGCGCGACACGCTAAGCCGGATTTCCTGACCGTAGGTAGAGCAGCCCACTGAGAGACAAAGAACCTCGCAAGATGTGTCAACGAAGGACTCCAACGTTGCCAGCTTTTTTAATCCCGGTTCCTTGCAACAGGCGGCACGACATAGCCCCTAAAGCGCCGGCGTGGCTCACACCATTGAGTATGGTTCCAAACATCCACTGCTTCCAGGAATTATCCCTCCCTGGCCCTCTACCCTTGACAGGATTCGCACCTGCTCCACCATCATATGTTTCTCGCTCTCTCTCTCTCTCTCTCATTATCATTATCTCTCTCTCTCTCTCCTCCTACTCCTCCTACGGTCCGTGCTCCTCTTACTCATATGCAATGTCGTCTTCCTCCTCTTCCTCCTCCTCCTCCTCATCATCATCAGAATCCTCATTATTATCATCACTAACATCACGATCACCACTATCATCACTATCATCCTCGTCGCCATGATCACAATGGTAGGCATGGTGAGAGTCATTCTTATAATCATAAGCATAATCATCCCACTCCCCATCATCAGCACCACCACCATCATTATCAGCAGCAGCAGCACCATCACAAGCATCAGCATCAGCGTCAGCATCAGCATCATCTTCCCCCTCATGCGCCTCCCTGCCCACCTTCCCCCCGCTCCCCCTCCTCGTCGTCGCCTTCCCCCCCTTCGCTTCCCCCTCCTCTATTTCTTTTCCTCCCAAATAACTCCTCCCCGTCGCACCCGGGGGCCGGTCGGAAGGGCGGGCTGGGCGCTTCGCCTGAGACACCCTTACCACTTACCAGCTGCGCCCACTCATTTTAAACACGCAACATGCTAGAGCTTCACGGCTTGAGGGCTTGTCGTTTTCAGAACGTGGCTCTCGCGCTACGGCCACGCATACTCGTCTTCAAAGAATGCGCAAGGGCTTCCCAGATTGAGAGCGGGCCGTTTTCAAAATGTGGATCTCGCCTTAAGCGACGCGCACATTCGCCACTCAAACGTGTAATAAGTTTACGGTTTGAGGGCGGTTCCCTTTCAAAGTGTGGCTCTCGCTGTAGCCCCGCGCACATTCGCATTAAAGTTTGAGGGGGGTTCAAACAACTGGTGGTCGATGCACTACACATGGTGCTCCGGAACGATTCAGGCTCGTCATGGTGCAACAGTTACGCTGATTTGCGGTATGCATTCCCAGGAACCGTGCACGATTAGGGACCGTCAAAACGCCACAATCCTGTGCCTTGGCACGCTTCAGGATGTTCAAACGATTGTCTCCCAACGGGGCATTTCCTTCAGTGGAAATGAATGATTTTTGTTTGTTCATCTTTCTTCCTCCAGACCCCGAGAAAGATTCAACCTGCCGGCTCCCCACCTGATGGGAAGGGGACTCCACCAAGCATAAACTGCTGTGCATCCGCCCCCGGCTGCAGAGCCAGCAGAAATTTGTGTCACGAAACTCGGCCCCTACAGGCAGGTATCTGTCCTGGCCGCGTGGCCGATAGTGGAAATGAATCCTCGTAGGGGCCTATGCAGGGGGAGCTTGGAGGGAGGGCTTATGCCAACAACGTTGATACATCTTGGGTTTACACTGGTCCTCCTCCTCCCCTTCCGCCTCCTCCACCTCCTCCACCTCCTCCACCTCCTCCGCTAAACCAGCCCAAGGTCGCTTCCCCCAATGGGGAGAACACCAATCAGTCGAGTGCGCTAGGGATTTCAGAGCCAAGCGTTCCTCCTCTCCCCAAGCCCCCAGGGGCCTCCAGAAGCCCAAACAAACCCAACGACGTCCACAAACCCTTTTCCTCGATCCTCAAGCCGCTCCTCAAGAACACCTGGGGTCTTGGCGTACGGAGCGCGCTGGTGTTTTACCGCTGGGTAGAAACAAGTCGGCGTCATCCTCCTCCTCATCGTCGTATTCGTCTTCGTCGTTCCTCGTTGTCCTCGTCGCCCTCTTCGTCGTCGTCATCCTCGCCGTCATCGTCGTCGTCGTCGCCGTCATCGTCGTCCTCCTGGTCGTCCTTGTCGTCCTTGTCGTCCTCGTTGTCTTCCTACGATTTCTCCTTGTCCTCGTCCTCGTCGTCCTCGTCGGCCTCGCAGTCGTCGCCGGCCTTTGTCGTCGGCCTCGTCGTCGTCGTCCTCGTCGTCGCCCTCGCCATCGTCGTCGTCGTCATAGTCTTCGTCGTCGTCGTGATCCCGTCGTCCTCTTCCTCCTCCTCCTCCTCCTCCTCCTCTTCGTCGTTGTCCTCGTCCTTGTCGTTCTCGTTGTCGTCGTCCTCGTCGTCGTCGCCCTCATCGTCCTCGTCGTCATCTTCGTCCTCGTCGGCGTCGTCGCGGTCGTTGTGTCGTCGTCGCCGCCGACGTCGTCGCCGTCGTCGTCGTCATAGTCCTTGCCACGGTCGTTGTCGTCGTCCGAGTCGTCCTCGTCGCCCTTGTCGTCCTCGTCGTCGTCCTCGTCATCCTCGTCGTCGTCGTCGTCCTCGTCGTCCTCGTCGTCGTCCTCCTCCCCCTCTTCCTCCTCCTCCTCGTCCTCGTCCTCGTCAAAGTTATCCTCATCGTCATCGTCGTCTTCCTCGTCGTCCTTGTCCTCGTCATCGTCCCCGTCGTCCTCCTAGTCGTCATCGCCGTCAACCTCCTAGTCGTCCTCCTCGACTCGTCGTCATCGCCGTCGACCTCCAAGTCGTCGTCGCCATCATCGTCGTCCTCCTCCTCGTCGTCGTTGTCCTCATCCTCGTCGTCGTCGCAATCGTCGTCGTCGTCCTCATCGTCGTCGCCATCGTCGTCTTCATCGTCCTTGTGATCCTCGTCGTCGTCGTCGGTCCGTCGTCGTCGTCGGTCCGATGTCGTCGTCGTCCTCGCCCTCGTCCTCGTCGTTGTCGTCGTCGGGGTCCTCGTCTTCGTCGTCGCCGCCCCCGCCGTCGTCGTCGTCCTCCTCCTCGTCATCGTCGTCTTCCTCCCCCTCTATCTCCTCCTCGTCGTCCTCATCCTCGTCAAGGTCGTCCTCCTCGTCGTCATCGGCGTCGTCCTCGTCGTCCTTGTCCTCGTCATCGTCCTCGTCGTCGTCATACTCGTCGTCATCGCCGTCGTCATAGGCCTCGACCTCCTAGTCGTCGTCGCCATCGTCGTCGTCCGTCTCCTCATCGTCGTTGTCCTCATCCTCGTCCTCGTTGCCATCGTCGTCGTCCTCGTCGTCCTCGTATTCTCGTCGCCATCGTCGTCGTCCTCGTCCTCATCGTTCTCGTCGTCGTCCTCGTCGTCGTCGTCCTCGTCCTCGTTGTCGTCCTCGCCGTCGTCGTCGTCGATCCGCCGTCGTCGTCGGTCCGTCGTCGTCGTCGTCGGTCCGTCGTCGTCGTCGTCGTCATCGTCGTCGTCATCCTCGCCGTCATCGTCGTCGTCGTGGTCCTCGTCGTCGTCGTCGCCGCGTCCGTCGTCGTCGTCGTCATCGTCGCCGTCCTCGTCGTCCTTGTCAATATCATCGTCCTCGTCGTTGCCCTCGTCGTCGTCATCGCCGTCGACCTCCTAGTCGTCGTCGCCATCGTCGTCGTCATCCTCCTCTTCCTCCGCCTCGTTGTCCTCATCCTCGTCCTCGTTGCCATCGTCGTCGTCGTCGTCCTCGTCGTCTTTTTCATCGTTGTCGCCCTCGTCCTCGTGATCCTCGTCCTCGTGATCCTCGTCGTCGTCGTCGTCGGTCCGTCGTCGTCGTCGGTCCGTCGTCGTCGTCGGTCCGTCGTTGTCGTCGTCGTCCTCATCGTCGTCCTCGTCCTCGTCGTTGTCGTTGTCGTCGTGGTCATCGTCGTCGTCGTCGCCACCCCCGCCGTCATCGTCGTCGTCATCGTCGTCGTCCTCGTCGTCCTCCCCCTAGTCGTCGTCGTCCTCCTCCCCCTCTTCCTCCTCATCGTCGTCCTCGTCCTCGACGAGGTCATCCTCCTCTTCGCCATCGGCGTCGTCCTCGTCGTCCTTGTCCTCGTCATCGTCCTCGTCGTCATCATACTCGTCGTCACCGTCGTCGTCGCTATAGGGCTCGACCTCCTAGTCGTCGTCGCCATCGTCGTCGTCGCCGTCCTCCTCATCATCGTCGTTGTCCTCGTCCCCGTCGTCGTTGCCATCGTCGTCGTCGTCGCCATCATCGTCGTCATCGTCCCCGTCGTCGTCCTCGTCCTCGACCTCGTCGTCGTCCTCGTCCTTGTTGTCGTCGTCGGTCCGTCGTCGTCGTCGTCGGTCCGTCGTCGTCGTCGTCGTCCTCGTCGTCGTCATCCTCGCCGTCATCGTCGTCGTCGTGGTCCTCGTCTTCGTCGTCGCCGCGGCAGTCCTCGTCGTCGTCGTCATCGTCGCCGTCCTCGTCGTCCTTGTCCATATCATCGTCCTCGTCGTGGTCAGTGTCGTCGTCATCGCCGTCGACCTCCTAGTCGTCGTCGCCATCGTCGTCGTCGTCCTCCTCTTCCTCCGCCTCGTTGTCCTCGTCTTCGTCCTCGTTGCCATCGTCGTCGTCGTCGTCTTCTTCATCGTTGTCGCCCCCGTCCTCGTGATCCTCGTCGTCGTCCTCGTCGTCGTCGTCTTCGTCGTTGTCGTCGTCGCCGTCGTCGGTCCGTCATCGTCGTCGGTCCGTCGTCGTCGTCGTCGTCCTCATCGT